AAGCCCGCACGCCTGGAGCCCGTGCTCCACAACAGGAGAATCCACTGCAATGAGAAGCCTGTGCACCACAACAAGGAGTAGCCCCCACTTGTTGCAACTAGAGAAAGCCCACATGCAACAAGAAAGACCCAATGCAGCCATAAATATAAATTAATTAATTAATTAAAAACCACTACCATATTCCACTGGGACAAATGAAATAGCCTCCTAATTGGTCTTCCTACTATCCATCTTACCCCCATTCGATCTATTCTCCATAGAGTGATAATTATAAAATAAATCAGCTCATGTCATTCCCCTGCTCAGAAATCTCCAATGCTTTTCTATCACACTTAAAAATCACATGCCAGGAGTTCCCTGGTAGCCTAGGGGTTAGGATTTCAGGCTTTCACTGCTGTGGCCTGGGTTCAATCCCTGGTTGGGGAACTGAGATCCAGCAAGCGGTGCAACAGAGCAAAAAATAAAAATAAAGTCACATGCCTTCCCCTATGACATACAAACATTTACATGATTTAGCCCTTGCCTAACTTTCTGACTTCATCTTGTTACTCTACTTTTCACTTACCTTTTGAATAATCATCCTGGTCTTCTTGCTGTTCCTCAAACATCAAAGACTTTGTTCCTCCGACCCAAGAGCTCTGCATTTACTGTTCCATTAGGACCGCTCTTGCTTCTTGCTTTAGACATTCATATGGTTTGAGCTCTTTTTTCATGTTTCCACTCGAATACCACCTCCTCAAAAAGCCCCAACCACCCTAAAACAAACCTGTTTACACCTGCCAATTTCTATCCCTCATTCTTCTCACTTTTCTTAATAACACTTGTCACTATATAATATTGTTTATTCATTTACTTGTTTACTTAATGTCCCTTCTATTAAAATGTAAACAGCAAGACTGCTGGGAACTACCACTCTTGCTCACAATTGTCCTACTGGTGTCTAGGACAGTGCTTGGTTCAGACTGGGCACACAAGTATTTGCCGAATAAATGAACGAACATATTTTTAGGCAAGCAAATATATATATATATATTAGTTAGACTGGAAAGAAACTGGATCCCATATAGATATTGCTATGGACCAAATTATGTCCCTCCAAAATTATACATTTAAGCCCTGACACCCAATGTGACCGTATTTGGAGAAAGTGCTTTTAGGAGGCAATTAAGGTTAAATGAAGTAGTAAGGGTGGAGTCCTAATTCACAGGACTGGTGGGTAGAATAGGATAGGATAGGACTGGTGGTCTTACAGGAGGAAGAGAGATTGTGCTCTCTCTCTTCACCATGTGAGGACAGTGGGAGAACAGGGCCATCTGCAAGCCAGGAAGAGAGCCCTCATCAGGCCCCAAGATGCTAATCTCAGACTTCTAGCGACCAGAATTAGGAGAAAATACATTTCTGTTGTCTAAGTCACTCAGTCCATGGTATTTTGTTATGGCAGCCTGAGCTGCCTAATACAGATTTAGATATAGATGAATTGTAGTCATTGATCAAGAAAAAAGAGTAGCCCCTCTCTTTGTCAAATCTTTTACCTATCACCCCCAACAGGACATTTTAATTTACTTTTTATTTTGAAATAACTGTAGATTCACAGGAGGTTGCAAAGAAATGTACAGGAAAGTCTCATGCAGGCTTCACCCAGCCCCTTTCAATGCTAACATCTTACCAACTATAGTACAATATTCAAACCAAGAAATTACCTTTGGTATAATCCATAGGGCTTACTTAGATTTCACCAGTTATACATGCCATCACGTATGTGTACGTATATAGTTCTGTGCAATTTTATCACATGTATAGCCTTGCATAACCACTACCACAATGAACATACTCAACTATATCATAACCACAAGACTCCCTTGTGTTATTCCTTTATAGCCCAACCATCTCCTCCCCTCCCTACGTTCCTAACCCCTGGCAACCACTAATCCATTTCCCATCTCTATAATTTTATTATTTCATAAATATTAGACAGAGTCATACAGTATATAACCTTTTGTGATTGGTTTTTCTCACTCAGCATAATTTCCTTGAGGTTCATCCAAGTCGTCGTGTCTATTAATAATGTATTCCTTTTTGTTGGTGAGTATTATCCCATGGTATAGATGTATCTTTTACCCATTTTTTAATTGGGTTGTTCATCATTATAGTGTTGAGTTGTAGTGTAGAGGCTGGATACTGGTACTTTGTTTTACTACTATTTTCTCTAAGTCTGTGACTCACCTATTCATTTTTTTATTAGTATATTTTGATGAGACAAAGTTTTTAATTTGGATAAATTGTGACATCAATTTTTAATTTTTATGGTTATTGCTTTCTCCTAAGAAGCCTTTGCCTACTACCAAGTCATTCCCCTATGTTTTCCTCTAAAAGCTTTATATTTCTTATATATAAAATGTATAGTTAGTTCTTAAATTTTCATTTTATTTTTTATACTTAGCTTTCATATTTGGCTTTTAAGATTTTTTAATGTTTAGTTTTTATATTTATGTTTAAAATACATCTCAAATTAATTTTGGAATGAGACAGAGTTCAAGATTTTTTTCCAGCTACTCCAGCATCAGTTGTTGAAAAGACTTTCCTTTCTCCACTAGAATGCTTTGATGCCTTTGTCAATAAATAAATGACCCTTTAAGCGCATGTGAGGTCTACATCTAGGGTCTCTGTTCTGTTTGTTGATCCTTAGCCAACACCATAATGTCTTGATTATTAGAGTTTTATAATATATCTTGAAGTATCTTGAAGTCATGTAGTCTAAGTTCTATAATATGCTCTTCCTTTTTCAAGATTGTTTTAGACATGCTAAGTCCACTGCTTTTCCACATAAATTTTAGAATCAGCTTGTTAATGTCTACAAAAAAAAAAAAAAAGGTTCCTAGGATTATGACTGGAATTGTGTTGAATCTATACAATTGACATTTTTACAATACCAAGTCCCCATCCCAAAAATGGTACTTTCTATTCATTAGGTCTTCTTTTATTTCTCTTAGCAATGTTCCATCATTTTTATTATAGAGGTTTTACACATTTTGTCAAATTTATTCCTTAGTATTTTGTTTTATTGACACTACTGTAAATTGACTTAATTGACTTTAATTTTTCTTAATTGACTTTAATTTTCTAATTTTTTTCACTCTTAGTTTATAATAACACAATTGATTTTTGTAGCTCAACCTTGTATCCTGTGATCTTACTGTGATCTTCACGTATTGCTTTGAGTAGCTGTCATTTTGATTCCTTACAATTTTCTAAGTATATAATTATGTCATCTCCAAATAGTTTTACTTCTTCCTTTCTGATCTTTACAATATCTCTTATCTCTTTTTCTTGCCTTATTGCAATGCTAAAACCTTCAATACAATGTTAAGTAGAATTGGGGAGACTGGGCATCCTTGCCTTGCTCACAATCTTGGGGGAAACTCTTCAATCAAGTATGATGAAGTTTATGATGTAGTGTTTTTTCAGCAGATGTCCCTTATCAGATTGAGGAAGCTCCCCTCAGTTTCTAGTTTCCTGAGAATTTTTATTATGAATGGATGTTGAATTTTGTCATATGCTATTTTTACATCTATGGAGATGATCACATGGTTTCTCACATTTCTGTTAATATGTTAAATTACATTGATTAATTTTTTAATGTTAAACCAAGCTATGGTTTTCCTGGGATAAACCCTACTTGGTCATCATTTTTATATATTTCTGGATTTAATTTCCTGATATTTTTTAAGCATTTTACATCTACATTCACAAAGGATAGAAACTACCAAAGGGAAAAAAATTATAGACTTATATCCTTCATGAACTTAGTAAAAGAGTTATAGTAGTCTCATAAAATGAGTTGGAAGGAGTTCTTTCTTTTTCTGAAGGAATTTGTGTAATACTGTAATATTTCTTCCTTAAATATTTAATAGAATTCACCAGTGAAACCATCTGGGCCTAGCATTTTCTTTCTGGAAAGACTTCTGATAATGGATTCAATTATTTTAGCAGATATGAAGTTATTCATATTTTCTTTTTTCTCTTGTGTCAGGTCTGGTACACTATATTTTTCAAGGAATTTTTCCATTTCATTAAAGTCAAATTTACTGACATAAAGTTATTCATGGTATTCTCTTTTTTTTTTTTTTTTTTTTTTTTGCGGTACGCGGGCCTCTCACTGTTGTGGCCTCTCCCGTTGCAGAGCACAGGATCTGGATGCGCAGGCTCAGCGGCCATGGCTCACGGGCCCAGCCGCTCCGCGGCATGTGGGATCTTCCAGGACCAGGGCACGAACCCGTGTCCCCTGCATCAGTAGGCGGACTCTCAACCACTGTGCCACCAGGGAAGCCTTTCTTATTTTTTTAATGGGTGTAAAAATGTGAAGTGAGGGCTTCCCTCAATGCAGGGTTCGTGCCCCGGTCCGGGAAGATCCCATGTGCTGCGGAGCGGCTGGGCATGTGAGCCATGGCCGCTGGGCCTGCATGTCCGAGGCCTGTGCTCCGCAACGGGAGAGGCCACAACAGTGAGAGGCCCGCATACCGCAAAAAAAAAAAAAAAAAAAAGTGAAGTGAAAACCTCTCTTTCATTCCTGGTATTAGTAATTTATGTTGTCTCTCTTTCTTTCTTGATTAGTCAAGCTTGTGTTTATCAATTTTGTTGATCTTTGCAAGAAATCAACTCTAAGCTTTATTAATTTTCACTTTTTTCTTTTTCTATTTTGTTGATTTTAACTCATATTTATTATCATTTTTTTCCTTCTGCTGAGAACAGTTTCTCTCTTTGAAGTGGGAGAGAAACATGAGACAAGAAACAGAGAGTTGTAATCAAGGCCAGTAGGAAGTTCCTTTGCTAGCCCAGGCTTAAAAGATTTTAATTTGCTTCCTAGGTCTCAGGCCTTTTCTCCACAGGCTATGGGCTTTTGAAGAGAGATGTGTAACATCTCGAGGGTATGTCTCTACCCTAACATACTTGGCTATTACCTACAGTAATGACTTCCCCATGCCTGCTAAGCTCTCACTCACCAGGGTGATGTCTTCTTGTCCCTTCCCTTACAACCATCCAGGGCTCCTTCCCTTCATCCAATAAGGTAATCACATCTGGTTTAGAAATGGAAGGTCCTGCTTAAAAGATAATGTGACATGAAATTATAAGCCCCAAAGTCCTTAGGTTCAGATTTGGTTAAATTTATAATAAACAATAGATCAAAATGGTACTTTATAAAGCCTAAGAGCAAAGAAATGCTAGGGAGTTGAAGAACACTCATACTAGGGTAACCTCAGGACCACAAGGAATAGACACCAGATGGGTAAGAACAGGCCTTAAAACAATTTAAACTCATACCTCATACAAGCTCTGTTGAGAAGCAGTCTTTTGTAATAGTTGAAAACACAGAATATGGATCCAGACTGCATGGGGTCATATCCTGCCTTTGCTGCTATGTTACTTCTGCAAATTATTAACATTTTGTGCCTAAATTTTCTCATCTGAAATAAGGATAATAATAGCACATTTCTCATAGAGTTATTGTGAGGATTAATTAATAATGTACAATGCTCAGAATAGTACCTAACTATATGCAGTTATATGTATATATACACATAACATGTGTGTATACTAGCTATTAATTTTTATTGTTATCAATTTGCTGAGAGAATAAGAAGCTTCCCAAGACATCCTCAGATCCTTATTAAGATATTCATTTAATGTTGAATGCAAAATTCTTAGACTTTAACTTTCTACCACAAAGCAAGTAGAATTGAATACGTCTGTTATAGGAAACAGAATGCACTTACTTGAGTTTTAGATGAACTTTGTGGATCCACCTCATACTATTTAAGTTCTACAGGCTCCTCTGATTTTTAAAGAGACTCAGAATCCCTGAGTCTAGGTATTCTCTTTGCAGGTGGATTATAAAAGAGGGTTAAGCATCTACATCAATTCCGAGCTCAAATACAAAGTGAAGTCTGGTTTCTTGGAGAATGCGTCTGTCGTAAAAAACCCAGAATTCAAACCCAGCCCCTTGGATACTAAGGAAACATGGAAACAACAGAGCCTGAAGAAAGTCTGAAGGACCTAGC